CATTCAAACAACAATTAAAAATATTATTTACACTTTTAATATAAAGCAATTTTTTGAAACGAGGATCAAAAAAAGATCCATATAATCCAAGAGTCGAAGGCACACCAAAGTTCTTCTTAAGATTGTCAAGTATATTATCTATTATCTGTCGAATGATATCATTTTTAGGTTGATAAATACTAAGATATTGCTTAAGATTTTCAATTGCTGGGGTCAAGAAACTCAATGCAGGATATTTTGAATCATTTAACATTTCAGTTAATTCACAGAATAGTTTTAAGATAATTTCAAGTTCTTTACAAATGTCAAATTCGTAATCAGAAAGCATATGTTCTTTTAGCTTTTCATTTTCTCTGCTAAAATGTTGAATTGAGTTCTGTAACATTACTAGATGACGAATGGCTTGATAAGTCGAATACCAATCTTCTCCAATATCTATAACGTCTAATGACTCTTTAATTCTTGGATCAATTTGCTGTTGAATGTCTCTTAATTTTCGGCGATTCGTGTCATTGTTTAAAATTTCACATAACTTTTTTGACTTGTTTAAAATGTCATTAGCACATTGCAATCCCGCTTCAACGCTTACTCGTAAAATATTTGCTAAACATGGAATAATTTCAATTTGCATTTGTGACAAAGCTGTTTTTACATTATTATTGTCACTAGTAATACTAACAATATTTTCATGAACTAATCCGAGTTTAGATAATAGAAGTTGGAATTTTTCAAAAAATTCCGTTGCAACATGATCTTCTGGAATCTTCATTACTTCAAGAACGACATCGATTAATTTGAAATCATGTGTAATCCAATGACAAGTTACTCCAATATAAGAGTGTGACCAAAAATCTACAGAAAGTGCCACAAACTGGGCAGTTTCTACTATCTTATTTTGAATGAGTTTGTTCGTTTGATTATAAGCATTAATAATTGAGGCTCTTATACTATCACAATTGGGAAGTGTAAATCTTGAATCAAGTGAACTACAAAATTGTCTAAATTCATTATTTTTAACAATTGAAAGAGGAAGAGTGCAAGAAAGGATCGTTCTTATTAAATTACTATTTTGTACTAAATATTGTGGGTGTGGACAAAAATTATCAGAAAATGTTCTTTTCTTTTGCGCAGGTAAAACACTTGAAATATCTAGATTTTTTCTCATATCAGTCATCATCTTTTTATATTTTGCTTTTGAACCTTCAGGTAATTGCATCCATAATTTAAAAATATAATTTGAAATTTCCTTACTGCTTAAGTTTGAAAATTTGGCTGAAACAATGTTACGCACTTCAATCGAAAATAAAATAAAAGGAATAAAGCTTTCATTTTTGATTTCGTGATCGAATAACATGTTTTCCATTTTTTGGATATTCATCATTTATTTTTTTAAAAAAAAAACAAATTTGAAAGTATTAAGCGAATTGCTTGGTTAAATAGAATTTAAAAATTAAAATTTTTAAATATTAAACTGGTTAATTGAAATACTTAATTTAAATAATTTTATTTTGTATTACTAATTACTTAAACTTGACGTAATTAAGAATTTTAGAATTTAATAATAAATAGAAATTGTAAATTTAAATTACCGAATTAACAATTTTTCAATTACTTGAATTCTTAAACTTGACGTAATTGAGAATTTTAGAGTTAAATAATAAATAGAAATTGTATTGTATATATATACATTTTTTGAATTTAAATTACCGAATTAATTTTAAACAATTTTTTAATTATTTAATTCTTTACGTTAATTGTTTTGAAAATCTGTCAAAACCCGGTTTATTACTGTTAAATATATGAAGAGTAAAGCATAACAGGTGATGACGTTAATAATTGAATTTTGATACCATCTCCTAATTATTTGTTATTATAATTAGAATTAGGGTAAACTTGCGTGAGGAACCTTGTTATATGTAGAGGGAGTGCTCAATATACACAATGATTGTCGCAGCTGATGCTGAAATTTTGATTATTTTATTACAGTATAACCTGTCAAAACTGATAAAAAATTGATTCACCATCTCTTAATTAAATATAGTAATTTTACCCTTCAAACCTGATAACCTGCCAAAACTGATACAAATTTGGTCCACCATTCACATCGGTTTTGACAAGTTATACTGTATTAAATTTTTACAATTTTTTGGGGTGCATTTTTTTAGTCTTCATATAATAGTTTGAGTAGAGTTTAGGGTTTATTAATTAAAGTGTATAGATGGGTTTTAGTAGGTTTTAGTGTTCTAAATAGAGACCCCAAAATTTTAGCTTCAGCCGTTTTCAGCATCAGCTGTGACAATGATTTTTTTATTTAAAAACTAGTTTTTAAAATTACTAAAACTAGTATTAAATCCATTTTCATTAATTAATACAGGGTCAATTAAACTATTGAATATGAAGTAACATTGAGATTGATAATATTAAAGGTAGTAAGGATTGAGATTGTTGGTAAATTGAACAGGCATCATACTTGGAGCCAAAATATTTTGTCTATATTCATGTGATAAGTAATTAGGTAAAAAACTGGATGGAAGGTAGCTTTCTGAAATGGGTTCGATAGATAAATTGGGTGATGTTGAATTATTTTGACAGTTGTTATTATCTGTTGAAGCTTGGGTATTGTTTGTTTCTTGTATCTGTAATGGTTCAAATTTTTTATTGGATTCAATTTTTGTGGACTTGACAATATCATTAGCCACCAATGAAGGATGCTGTTTATAAGTATTATTTGATTTTCTACTTTTTTTGTTTTTATCTCTAATTGGTGTATATTTATAATTCGGATATAGTAATTTGTGCTTCAAATTTGCTATTTCTGTTAATTTTAGCCAAAATTGGTATTCATGCTGATTAAATTTTTTAACTGCTGCCCATCTTTCCTTCGCGATTTTAGATGAGTTTGGAACGTTTTTACCAACCTTTTTTTTACTATTATTATTATTATTATTATTATTATTATGTGGATTATATTCGGCTGTTATATCGTTATGAAAAAGTATAAAACAATTTTGTGGACGTGGGATGGTCTTAGCCCTACACGGGTCGAAAGATAAAAAATCAGGCACAAATCAGGTACCCAATTTTAAACTGATTACTGCCTGATTACCACCTGATTTATGCATATTTTTGTACCAAAAATTTGGTACAAAAATATGCATAAATCAGGTGGTAATCAGGCAGTAATTAGTTTAAAATTGGGTACCTGATTTGTGTCTGATTTTTTATCTTTCGACCTGTGCTAGTATTGACCGAAGAATTCCATAAAAGATCTAATCGTTTTGTAGTTCGAACATCACCAAACTTATAAATAAGTTCATTTACCAATTTTACTATTTGGCAGGGTTTATTATTAAAAATAATTTTTTGCTGAGAGATTGGTATTCGGTTGGACTCACGTTCTTCTTTAGAAGGCGAACAAGAACGAAAATTATAATTGGTTTTTGACATCATTTAAATTTTTGAAATACTGTAAAAGATCATGCTTATATAATACAATGCGACACATAAAATTAGCTTTAATGACTATTTTTTATTTAAAGATGTATTCAATAATGTCCACAATAACTGTGTAATATCAATTGTTAAAAATTTAGATTAGCTAATCGAGCACTTCAGCATGTATTGTTTGCAGTGTAATCAGGAAATTTTAATGTTGTTTTAGAAGTTTATATGTATTGTGAATTATTAATCGGTTGACTTTATTTTTTTGATCCATTCAAATACTATTTATTTTGATATTGAAAAGTATAGATTGTATAGAACAATTAAATATTCTTATTTATACTCTAAGCGC